ACTATAACCGAATAAATAAATAAATACACAGAACTGAAAGAAGAAATAACAAAAATGTGGAAAATGAAAAAAGTTTTTAATAATACCCATAGTACTTTCTACCACCGGAATAATCCCGAAGCACTTACATCATAGTTTGAAAATGCTAGACATATCACCGAACTCATACATTAATATACAAAAAGCCGCAATCTTAAATACATGTCGCATTGTTCGAAAATTCATGAAGGATGATAGTAATATAGCTTATCCCCTATTACAGTGACGGTTACTTGGTTTTAACCCGTAATCGCCATTTATTTACCAGATCGAAGCTGAGAAAAAAATAAAAAAAAATAATAATAATAAAAAGGCGTAGGGAAGTGACGACCCCATCGCCCGCTGACGTAACGGTTATGTGACAAAACCGCTACTTCAGGCCTGCTTGTGCACATGGCCCACCATGCAACGGCGCCGGGTCTGGGCGTCTCCCGTTAAATGACGCCCACAAAAATGGATGATGGATTTGACTAAAATGCGCAAAAGGCCGCTGCCTGGAGGACGCCAGGGCGCGTCTGGAGCTGGCGCTAGATGCGACAGCATGCGTACCGCCAGCCAACGAGCGCGAGGTGCTGCACGACCACCCAGCAGCCTATCCATCATCCCCACCAGCTGGCTTGGTGTCGGCAGGGTCTTCGCGGGCCCAGCAATCGACACCCGCAACTGGTGTAGCACGCCGCATGCGTTGGACAACTCAAATGAACAGCAACGCATTGCGGGCGTATTTTAGGGCGAAAGGGGGAGAAATTGTAGGTTTTGCGTATCGGGCAAGGATGCATCGACTTTTTGCTGAGCTGTAACCATCTGTAACCGTCACCGAGCAAAACCTGGCAGACCGAGTTCGGTATATCTTGCGATCAAATACATTTGATGTGACCGAATACGAATGGCTTCGACGTGAGGCTGATCCTTCATCGGATGAAAATGCTACGGCTGAGGATGCGGCGCCACAACTTGCAGAGCAACTGGCGAACGTGGATGCCGCTGTGAATACCCCAGTTTTGGTTGATTCAAACGATGATGGTGAAATGTACTGGATAACTCGGTATTTAAATGATAAAACACGGTGTGACTTCATAACATGTATTGAGCGACTGGTTAGAGAAGACGCGCGGTGGCGCCTACCTACATAATACAATATTAATCTATACCTACATATATCACACCTCCCTTCTTAATATATGGTATTATCAGATATTATTAAGTAAAGTACATAAATTATGTAATCACAAATTTACTTATAATAATACCTTAACTATATAATACATTATCTATAAATCTAATAACTTGCTAAACTTGAAACCTAACAACAGTTTTACGAACTCGCCCGGATCGGGTTCGAGGCGGTTTAGGCGACGGTGCACTAGGTGACGTTGGCGGTGTACTATATTCGATTCCAGGACTTTTAATGTGTTCACTCGAAACCCGTTTCCTCTCCTTTCCCGAATCACCCACAACCGTAGTCGGAGATGTGTCCGGGCCGTCGTCCTCCTTCGACATTCCGTCTCTCGCCGAGCCACTACTATCAGGTATTTGTACCCTCATTGACTCGCTTTGCTCCTCAGGGTATGGTATATCGTACAATCGTGATCTGCGCTTGATTTGATCAACGTGCTTAACTACTTGTCGACTGTCCCCCTTGTCCACCGCATATCTCCTCGAACCTTCGCCATGAACTATCGTTCCCTTCACCCACCTATCCTTGTGGCCGTACTCTCGCACCCACACAGGTTCCCCCGGTGCAAACGAGCGCTGCACACCGCCCGTGTACTCCACTTGCTTACTTTGAGCCTGATTTACCTTATTTATGAGCGCGCGTAGTAAGTCTAGCCGTGATCGTAACGTTCGTTTTTGTAACAGCATTTAAGGGCTTTCACCTGTGCTGCTATGTACTGTACTGTTACGATAAGTAAGTAAAAATGTTTGCAACGCGGTGTCAACATCGATTGATTCCCTATGTGCTTTTTTATTGCTTTTTTACAAATATTTACAGCATTTTCCGCGGCGCCATTCGAAGACGGGTGATAAGCGGGCGAGAAACGTTGCTATCTATGTATAGTTCATTACGTTTAATATAATATTGCTGCAACACTTCTATTGGGCAGGACGCGGGCCATCCGGACTGAACATAGGTTAAAATTCTACTTAATTCCGGATCGCGTGCTGTTGCCGTTCTGACGTCATCATTTGTGACCGGGAGAAAATTTTCTACGAAATTAATGTAATTCATTCCCTCCGACTTCGGAAGCCGTTTATGTACCGGTTGCGGCAAACGAGATAACGCATCTGCACAATTTTTTGTGTGAACTTACATATTCTATGTCATAATTGTATCCCGACAATAATACTGCCCAACGCTGTAATCTCGAAGCGGCCATAACTGGAATGCCCACTTTACTGCCGAAAATATACGTCAAGGGTTTGTGATCAGTCCTTAAAACGAATTTTCTACCATAAAAGTACTGATGAAACTTTTTAATACCGAATATTATTGCTAAGGCCTTTCGATCTATCTGCGCATAGGCCCGCTCGGCCGCGCTGAGTGTTCGCGACGCATATGCGATCGGCCCCTCTCCCTCCTCAGTGATATGCGATATCACGGCGCCGACTCCGATTCCGCTGGCGTCTGCGATGAAAGATCGCAGTTCTGAAATATTGGTGGGTACAGGCGTGTTTACAATTGCCCGGACTTTTTCCGGACATGTGTGAACGCCCTCTTTACTAATGACGTGCCCTAAATAGTTAATAGATTCTGCGAAAAATACACATTTTTCTTTCTTAACGCGCAACCCGTGAGACTGCAATCGCTCGAACACTTTTTATAAATTTTTAAGTAACTACGACTATCAGGACCCGTTATAATTACGTCATCTAAAAATACACCCACGTTCGGTAACCCTGTCAATAATTCTTCTAAGTGTTTTTGAAAAATTCCCGGACTCGACGACAAACCGTAAACTAGTCGATTGTACATGTATAAACTCTTATGTGTATTGATAACCGTATACTTTTTTGATTCGTCAAGCTCAAACTGAGCGTACGCCTGAGATAAATCAATCTTACTGAAACGTTCACCGCCATGTAAACGCGATAACAAATCATCTATGCGTGGCAAGGGGTAACGGTCGACTTCTAGCACTTTATTCAGTGTTAATTTATAATCAGCGCATATTCTAATATTACCATCCTTTTTGAGAACGGGTACAATGGGTGTGGCCCAGTCGGAGCGCTCCACCGGCGTGAGGACGCCGTCTCGCACCAGCGGCTCGAGCGCTCGCTCCACCGGTTCCCGCAGCGCATACGCCAGAGGGCGCGCGCGCATGAACACCGGCCGCGCCCCCTGCCGCAGGTGGATGATAACCCGCCCGCCGCTGAACCGTCCAAGCCCATCCGCAAATACTTCACTGAATCTATACATAAAATTACTTTCGTCAAAATCCTTATAATTAACATTGTTTACATCGTGATACTGAAACACTGGTAGTTGAATTTTAAGTTCGGCTAACCACTGTCGACCCAAAAGAACGGTTTTACCATCTCTGATTATGAACAAATTTAATTTTTTTTGTGTATTTTTATACCTCACTAGTGGCGTAGCCACCCCCACCGGACGAACTATTTCACCTGTGTAATATCTAAGTAAAACATTACATTTGCTGATAGGTAAATCACTAAAATTATGTTTGTAAAATTTGTAACTTATACAAGATACGGCGCTACCCGTGTCACACTCCATGTCAATATCCTTTCCGTGAACGTTGACTGAAGTACATAGCGGTGTACACTCTTCTATGGATAATTTTTTAATATCAAATATTCTTACTTCGTCACTGTCCGTCTCGTCCGATTCGACCACTTTAGGTGTTCCGATGTCTACGTGATGGTACGTCGTCAGGTTAGGGCACATCCGACGTAGATGCCCCTTACGATTACATACTCTACACACATATACCGCGAACCGACACTTCGTGCTGCCATGGGGTCCGCCGCACGCAGCACATTGTTGTGCTTCGTCAGCTGTTTTTTCTTGCTGCCGCTGCCACCTCGACGCCGTAGGTGCCGTCCTCCCTGGCCGACCGCGTCCGTTGCCACGTCGAGTCGCTGCCACCGCCTGGCACTCAGCCGTGCTCGAGCTGCCCGACGATTCACCTTGCCCGTATCCTTCCACAGCCGCTGCATCCTTCTCCGCCGCCTCCATGTTCACTGCCAAGCTATACGCTTTCCCATATTCCAACGTGCCTTCTGCGAATAGTCGTTGCCTTATAGTTTCACTTAGAATACCGCACACCAGCTGATCTCTTAAACTTTCTTCCAACCATTGACCAAATTCACAAGATTTCGACATTCTCTTCAATATTGCTGCATACTCCGCTATTGTTTCACAACTTTTTTGTTTTCTATGCCGGAATTTATATCCTTCTGCGAGGACACTTGGTTTTGGTTGGAGATGTTTATCTAGAATGTTTGTGATTTCCAAAAAAGATTTATCTTTTGGTTTGGTTGGAGTACATAAATTCACTAACAGTTCGTAACACTCGGCTCCCATCACGGTAATTAACGTCGGAACTTGTAAATCCTCCGAAATTTTGTTGACAACAAAATATTGTTCGAGGCGGTCGACGTATGACCTCCAATTGTCCTTATGTAGGTCAAACTCAGGAATTTTTCCAATCGACATTTTAAATAAATACTTGTCGTTTACAAATACTTTTCCAAGAGTTCGTTGCTATCCTCGTCGCCACTGAAATGTACTGGATAACTCGGTATTTAAATGATAAAACACGGTGTGACTTCATAACATGTATTGAGCGACTGGTTAGAGAAGACGCGCGGTGGCGCCTACCTACATAATACAATATTAATCTATACCTACATATATCACAGATGGAACAGTCGCCCAGGAACTGGAACTGGAGCAAATGAGGAGTACATTGGATGAGGCGATTTTGGAAACGCGCAATATGCCTCTCGAAAATCAACTGCGACTTCCCCGCATATCCCTCAGCAAGCGGAATCGGGCTATCGTGAGGGCTCTGACCCCAATGCTGGTGACCTATTTGGAAGCCAGCCGGGACCTTTGCGAAACGGACTCAATTCTCTTTGGCGCCGCACTAGCAGTCTGCCGTATTATAGGCGCCAAACTATCCACGGCTGGACGCACTACTGGACAAAGTAGTGCTATCCCAGTCTGGAGAACAAGAATTGAAGAACGTATCGCAAAGGCCCCCTCATCGGCAGACTGATATGCTTCAGGTCAGGCAATACCAGGCCAAGGATTGTGCGCACCGTCAGGATGGCGTTTTCTGGGACAAATGTTAGTTTGTCCCAGCCGGATATAATGCAAAAACTGACGGAGTGCATAGGCGACCTGAAACAGAGAATCGATGCTTGTGGAAAGCGGATTCGGCAATATACCGAGAGGTCGACACGGTTCAACCAGAATCGTCTCTTTCAGAGTGACCAGAAGAGGCTCTATAAATCATTGGAGCGACCAATGATAAGTGGAACGGGCCCAGTACCGAATCAGGCCGACACGGTCGTATTCTGGCGCAGCCTGTGGTCAGAGCCCGTAAACCACAACGAGCGACCTTGGACGGAAGTTGTGGCGAGTCAGTGTGCGGGTATTACGCCCATGGACCCCGTCATCATAACGCCGGATGACGTAGCTGAGGCGGTCCGTAGGGCCCAGAACTGGAAAAGTCCGGGGCTTGACGGGCTGCATCACTACTGGCTGAAGGGGTTCATGGTGTGTCATGCTGTGCTCGCTCGACAGTTTCAAGAGGCTCTCAACCAGAAGTCGCTCCCGAGCTTCTTCACTACTGGGATCACTCATTTGGTTCCTAAAGATCAGGGTGCCACAGACCCGAGCAAATACCATCCCATCACGTGTCTACCAACCATATACAGACACTAACATCCATTTTGAGCGCGAGAATCACTCGTCACCTGGACTCAAATCAGGTGATGTTGCGCGCTCAAAATGGATGTCGGTGCGGCGGTCGTGGAACCAAGGAACCACTCATTGACGCGGTCATTGGCAAAGTGGTGAAACGCAACCGTCGGAACTTCTCCGCCGCCTGGATAGATTACAGAAAGGCATTTGACTCGGTGCCCCATACATGGCTAAAGAGGGTCCTCGAGCTGTACAAGATTGACTGTACAGTTCGAGACTTCCTCGAGCAGTGTATGAGGCAGTGGAGTACGATCCTCTGTCATCTAGGCGAGCGATTGACGGCTGCGGAAAGTCGCATAAGGATAAGAATGGGTATATTCCAGGGCCACTGTCGGAGTCCAATCTGGTTCTGCCTCTCTTTGAACCCTCTCAGTACTTTACTGGAGGGCTCCGGGAGGGGATTTCAGCTTTGGAAAGGAGGTACAAAAGTGACCCACCTCTTCTATATGGATGACTTCAAATTATTCGCCTCCAGTCGCTCCCATCTTATGGATTGCTAAACATCACTTGTGAATTTAGCAATTCTATTAGAATGTAGCTGGGGTCGGATAAGTGTGCGGTCCTCCATGTTAAAAGGGGAAGGGTAGCTAACTCTGAGGGCATAGATTTATCTATGCCCGTCAACTTAAGGACCCTTTCTGAGGCTGAAACATACCGATACCTGGGTATGTCACAGAACATCGGTATCGATGAGGCTGGTATAAAATAGTTTGCGACCTGTTTTATGGACGCTTGACCAAAGTGCTTAACAGCCTTTTGTCCAGTGTGAATAAGACACACGCATATAACGGCTGGGCCATGCCTGTCCTCATGTATACCTTTGGCATACTCAGGTGGAGTCAGACTGAACTTAACGCCCTGGATAGAAAAGTCCGCACTACAATGACGTTCCGTAGTGACCGCATATGAGAAAGCCGAGTTCTGTAAAAATAAATGCAATCCAAAGGGTACTTGGCATACTATAAATAAGATCACTAACCTCAAACAATATTCACCCACTCCATGTGAATTACTAAATCTATGATACTCATAAATCTGTCGATATTGTTAATAATTACTTTGCAGAAATTCGCCCATCTTATGCTAACTCAATATTAAAAACTCAGCAATACATTGACCACCCAAAAATTGTTAAAGATAGTGACGAATCTAACCGCTTGCATAAATCAATGATATTGCTTGACACAGACTATTACGAGATAGAAGCTATTATCACAAACTTAAAAAATGATTCAGCCACGGGAATCGATAGCATACCTACTCTAGTCATAAAACGTACCAAAAACAGTCTGATTCCCCCCATAACATATTTGTGTAACCTTTGTTTAAAAACTGGTGTTTTTCCAGATATTTTCAAGAGGGCTCTAGTTCACCCTATACATAAGAATGGTGACAGAGACACTGTCGAAAATTATAAGCCTATATCTGTACTAAGTGCGATAGCCAAAATTCTTGAAAAATTTTAAATCTCAGATTCACAAATTTTCTTAAACATAACAATATAATTTCAGATAATCAATTTGGCTTTGTGAAAGGTAAGTCTACTGAAGATACAACTTTAATTCTAACTGAGACAATCGCAAAACATCTTGATAATAAGTTGAAAGTTATAGGTGTTTTTCTTGATTTGTCAAAGGCCTTCGACACTGTCTCTATTCCCCTACTTCTGCATAAGATGGAACTGATCGGCGTACGAGGAATTGCTTTAGATATATTTCGATCGTATCTATCTAATCGCACGCAGTTAGTTAAAATCGGTGATTACACTAGTTTACCTACTACTGTCTCGTTCGGTGTACCACAAGGTAGTGTACTAGGCCCAACTCTCTTTCTAGTTTACGTAAATACTTTATGCTCACTTACCTTGCCTAACTGCAAAATCATTTCGTACGCAGACGATACGGCTTTAATTGTATATGGTAAGGACTGGAATGAAGCCCAACACCGTACGGAATATGCGCTTGGAAGGGTTATGCGGTGGCTGAGTAGCAATCTATTGACATTAAATGTAAACAAGACTAAATATATTACTTTCACACACCGTGCCAGTACCCAGCGAAATTTTATATCAGAGCACATACATGTGAACAACACAGCTTATGCAACTGCCCAAAACTTACTCGTTCCACTAACATAAGATACCTCGGACTTATCATTGACTACTGCCTATCTTGGTCAGAGCATATAAGTAATGTAACCTGCCGTATTATAAACTGATACCAATATTCAGAAAATTGAGGAATTCTGCTGACTTTGAAACATTGATATGTGTTTACTATGCTCTTGCTCAAAGTTTACTACAATACTGTATTGTAACATGGGGTGGAATTGGAAAAACAACTTTACTCCCCTTAGAACGTGATCAAAGAGCAATCTTAAAGGTAATACTAGGTAAATCACAAAGATTTAGCACCGAACTTATTTTTAAGGAATGCTCTGTACTTACGGCAAGACAGCTTTTTGTCATGTCTGTTATACTACGTAAGCACAAAAATTCAGAGTTTAAACCTAATTTGAAACGTAATAAAAATAGAATTTGTGACATAGTTTCTCATAGAACTGCTTTAGCACGTCGTCAATATTATGTCACTAGCAATTATTTATATAATGTAGCCAATAAAGTTAACAATATTTACCCTTTGTCCCTTTATAAATGTAAAGATAAAATCCTAAATTGGTTGCTACGCCTTAATTACCTGGAAACAGAGAAGTTAATCAGTATTTAAGTTCTAACACACACACACGCATACACATACATTCACACAAAAACACACAGTATTACATGCCCATGCACACACACACACACACACACTGGTTTGTGGTAATTAGAAAGTTTTCTCTTCATTTTTTTTTAAATTTATTATTTAACTTAACATGGTTGTGTATTATATAGCGAAATAATCTGTCATTTTTTACTGTATTTGTATTGTACTACTCAAGGTGGAAGACGCTGACGGCTGTAACACAGTTTATACTAGTATGGCCGTTAACGCCAACTAATTTGAAATGTAATTTTGTAATTTTAAATAGATATAATACGTAAGTGTAACCTGTTAATTGAGAGTTAAATAAATTATTATTATTATATTATTATTTTATTGATATTTATGTATATTTATCTTTTCATTTTAATTTATAATTCTATATTTATAGAACCCAACCAGATGAGAAAACTATATAGATACCCCACATAATAATAATAAAATTAGCATTATATATACGTAGGCGGTCCCATAATGAATTGGCCTAACTATGAACCAATGAAGGAAATGAAACGAAACCAATTTTATTTTTCAATATAATCACCATGAATACTAACACACTTCTGACATCTGTGAATCAACATCTCTAAACCTTTATAAAAATAATCCCATTTTTTATCCTCAAAATGACTAAAGACGGCCGCCTGCAACTCTTCATCGCTTGAAAATTTTCTTCCTCTTAAGTCCCGCTTTAAATTTGGAAATAAATAATAGTCGGACGGGGCCATGTCTGGACTGTAAGGTGGATGTTGAACTTCTGTGAACCCGCATTGACGAACTGCATCCTTCGAAACACCAGCGGTATGAACAGGGGCGTTGTCATGGAGCAACAGGACACCTTTAGACAGCTTGCCTCTTCGTTTTTCCTTTATCTTGTCTCGTAATTTATATATTAAAGAAGTATAATATTCGCCGATCACGACTGTATTACGTTCTTTAAAATACACCATCTAAATGCCTTGAAAATCCCAAAATATTGTGCACATCAGTTTTTTAGTCGATTGTTGCACCTTTGCCTTTCTAGGGGGCTTTTCACCCTTATAACGCCATTCCATTGACTCGCGCTTGCTTTGTGGATCATAATACAAGATCATAGTTTCATCACCAGTCACTAGCCGCTCGATCACAGTCTTTGGATTTTCGCCACAAAGATCCAAAAACTCCGAAGCGCAGCGCACTCTTTCCTGTCTCTGTACCGCTGAAAGAAGTTTCGGTACCCATCTTGCACTCACTTTTTTCATGTGAAGATGTTCATGGATCGCGCGATGAACGGTACTCTTAGAGAGCCCAAGCCTTGCTGCAATTCCTCTAATCTTCAAACGGCGGTCACTCAGAACCTCCTCTTCGATAAGAGCAATCGTTTCGGGAGTGAGCACTTCCACAGGTCGACCGTCGTGGCCAAAGTCTTCGACGGTTTCTCTCCCGAGGCGAAATTCTTTCACCCAATTTTTCACTGTGCTATAGGAGGGGGCAGACTCCTTATACACTCCATCCAATCGTTCTTTTATTTGGCCAGGGGATAAACCTT